CATTTCCTGACCTTCTCGAGAGATTTGACATTCTTGGTCTTGTCAGTTACTTTGTAGCCAAGCATTTTGCGGCAAAAACAGCAAAAGGATTCGTACTGTTCTTACCTCCCGTATTCGTATACCTCCACATAGTACTTTCGTTCTTGATCGAGTGCATGTTGCTGCAGCATGCATCAGAGCTTACCGAGCAGCGATGCTTTGCGCACAGAAATTCTCCAATGTCCTGCCAGCAGTTTTCCAAAAGATTTCCTGCAGCCTTTCTGATTCTTTAAGCATCTGCTTCCAACCTTGAATCATGCCTGGATCTTGCCACTGGGATAGTACTTATGCAACATTTGAAATCACCAGGAATCCAGTTGTCTCCTCTCTGAATGAAATCAATGAAACCTCTCTAGATCCATGGTTCTAGAAGGAAAGGGCATAGGCACCGCTGGAATAATCGTAAGTCATGTATGACGTTTCAGTCAGAAATCTGGTTTAAGATTTAATCAAGAATTTCTTGAGCTTCTGCTTACCTCGAATGCAGTGGATCCTAATCGGACTTCGTCAAAGACATGGCTGATTCAGATAATCTCTCCACTAGGGAAAATAAATGAAAAATGTGACGAGGTGCACAGTAGAACTGGTTGCGAACACCCTTGTATAGTTGCCCAGTGCAGTTACACAGACAGGAAAGACTAGCCATATCGGACTCTGTGGTGTTATAACTGATGCTGGAATTGTGAATTTTCTGTTGCTGTGCCACATGATCTTTGTGAATTTTCTCATTTCACATTTTGTCGTTGCTGTGCCATATGGAAAGAAAAGAGTGATTCAGTATAGCAGAAGTTATTGATGTTTGGATCGGCTTTTTTAATGTAAAACTCCTCGTTGATCTCTTCCTCAAAGTCACGTTGTGAAGAAAAGACTTCTCACCTCTACGGCTTCAGTCTGAGCCTCTACCTGACACCCCTTCAGTTTATGTGGCTATCGCAGTTTTTTAAGTTCTCGCCGTTTATTCATCGTCGATCTCTTCAGCGCAGTCCAGACCTTGTAGCGTTCGTTCTAACGACTGAACTATTGCTTTGCCATCAAAGTTTTTAATTGCCTCCATTGTCACTTCATCAGTGGCGTGGTTGAACATTATTGGTCCGTTGACCGATCCTTTCTGTAGTCATTCGCAGACCTGAAACAGGTCTACGCGTTCGAGCCACTGCTGTTGTACTAATTCAACTAGTGTTAAGTGTACATGGCAAATGAGGACGCCAGATTTTTTTAGAACATTGGTAACTTTTGGCAGTGGAATGACGGAGCATTCTGGCGAACGTCACTTGTGTCAGTGGGGAGGGGGAATGACTTTGATCCATATTCGTGTTTGCAGAAGAATCTTTGTGCATCCTGGATAACGAAAGCCAGATGTTTAACGAACGTATGAGCTGGCTTAATTTAACCGGCTACTGCAATGTCATCGGCCAGTGTGTTGTCAGAGATTGATGAAATCACCGATTCTGTTACTCAGGATTGTATCACTTAGCATCGGACACCATGCAGTTTCGTTAAAATTTCATCCTGATGATGAAGCCGGTAGTAGCGCCCGCATCACCTTTTTCTGTCTACTGCCGCCTGTACTTTATTTGATTATATACTTCTGTTGTCTTCTATTACTGACCAGTTTGATTCAGGAAAATTATTTAACTCTTCCTGCCATCGATCAAAAGGTCTTCGTACTGGTCCTTATTTCTCACAGAACCCAGTAGATTGCTTCTTCTGCTTCAGTTGTATTCGGTTCTTTTTCTAGCGCGTCCTGCCATGTCATCTACACTTCGGCTGTGACACTGCAGACCATTGTTTGTGGATATTCCCATTCCACAACATGTCTTCCTATCTTTTCTTATTATTCCCAGCACAACATATTTCAATGCTGCATTCTGTACTCTGCAGTTTATGAATAGCTTTCAGGTTTTGGGTCCAGGTTACGCGCTTGTATGCTAACACTGGGAGCACATTGATCTGAAACCTTCCGTTTCACGGACAGTGGCAGTTTCCCGGATGGAAATATTTTCAGTCTTCCGAAAGCGTTCCATACGATTTTTATTTTTCTGTTGATTTCGCATTGTCAGTTTTCTGTTGCAGAAATAGCCATCCGAGGTAGACGTAGTTTTCTACTTCCTCAGTAACCGGTGTACGCCATCAGAATGCATTGCAACCATAAATCAAGAAATGTAAAGTGGTAATTATATTCATGCAAACAATGAATTAATGTCCTCATCGATACGTATTAGTATTAACAACTTTTCAGACATGTCATAATCGAGTAGCAACTTTTACAGAATCCCCTGTGCTCAAAATAAGACGCTGCCTCAGAAGCGACAAACACGACAAGCAGCAACAGGTGTTATCTATATTCAGATTCTGCGAATATCGGTCAATAACTCGCCATCTCTGAAATAAACGTACTCGACAAGAACAAAGTATTTTTTCGATCAAGTCAGTTCGAACATGGGTCAGATCCTTAGGTTCCATTTTTCACTAGACATTTACGGATTGTATCACATGCATCTGCAAACTGAGTATGAAATTATTTTTCTAGATTCACTAAGAATTTACAGACGCGACCATTTGCACGATCTTAAATCGAAGGAATGCCCCATCTTTGCTTTGTACACGGGCAAATTGTTTCTGATCTGATATTTATTATGTAAGAGCAATTTATTTAGGTAATTTTATTATTAATAATTTGCGACGTAGTCTGCACTGCTCTGTTAAGTGGTTTTGGTTTCGGTATCACAGTAAGATTTCTGACTGTTTTCTCTGTTGCTTTCAACATAGTTGGACGAGGTCAAATGTGCAGTTGGCATTCACTAATCGCTGACGTATGTTTTCACTTATTTTAAATATTTAGCCTAGAAATCGTGAATGGGATCGCGGAAAGTTGTCGAGAGAACAGCTGTCACGAACGGAGGAAGAAGTCCAACTTCCTGAACCACAAAAGAAACGTAAGTAAACTGCGGCCACGGCTTTTGCCTTAAATATACCTTAAGATTAACATAGGCATGAGAGAGGACGAGGCAGTGCCTCCTGTTCCTGCGAGGCTCCTGGAGGAACTGTTTCGGAAGACGAAGTGTACGCCGTGTGTTTACTGGTTGCCCCTAACTGAAGAACAGGTAGAAAAATTTTACTTTCTTTGTCTTCCCGTTATCTCTTTATTAGAGTCTGCTAAAGGTATAAATTTTTCCGGCAATGGATATACGTAACGCTGTACTGTAGCTCTAAACTGTTTCAAGGGTTAATAGATCATCCAACAGCATCTACATTCTGTAGCGGTTTAGGACAGTGCAGTGAATATTCGGAAGATTCATTCGGTGGAAGTTCTTCAACACAGCGATTGGACCTGTTTAGCCTCTCCCGAAATGTTTAGCGTATCGAATCGTTTGCGATGGTTACCAGGTTTCATTCTTTTCGTAATGGTCTTCATGTCTTTTTCACCTTTCTGTCCTTGCCACTAAGATTAGCCACGTGTCTTTACACTTCTGCAGTGTCCTATAATCGCCGCGTTCTTTAGCTTTGCTGCATCTATCTCTAGCCTTTGCAGTCGGTTCCTGCGGCAACTCTTGTTCACCACTTTGATGCGGTGTCCGCGTCCTCGCTCTTTCGCACGATCACTCGCTTATGGCGCCGCCTGCTTCGCCGCATCTGTTTCCTAGCGAAGTTCCAGTGTTTTGGCAAGAACCCATCACTTCCTACTCTTGTAATAATAAAGGATTGTGCCTCTTGCTTCTTCAGGCATGCTTTCTTTTTCAGCTGTTTCTCCTGCTCTCGATTATTTTCTTTACGGCAGCAAATCTGCTGTTAATCACCGCCTGGAACGCCCCATAAGTTCTTGGGTCTTTCAGTTGGTTCCAGCCGAAACACAATCCACTGCTTTGGTCATCGTGGTTTTTACGGATGTGACCAGTAGGTAGCGGAGCTTCGTGACTACTAGCTAGTGATCGAATCCGATGTTAACTCCTCTACGTATCATGTGTATTCCAGCTAACTTCGCTTGGCATTGTTGACGATAGTGATCGATTTTGCTTTAGTGGTCTCCTCCTAACGCCACCCTCATCCGTTAGTAAATTGTTTTGTGTGAAAATTGCGATTCGCCTATAAACACACATGTGAAACACAAATAAAAACAGTCTGCAGACGTTCGGTGACGTTTGCTTCTCCGATGCAATGACGACATTTGACTTTCAGCCAATTTACATAGTTAGAGCAGAGCGTTAAGATCGATATGTCATAACGCAGCAGTGAGGAAAATATCCGTAAATAGTCATGAAATTAGTCCTTCCTTTGGTCTTCTGCCACGTAGGGGCATGTTCAGCCTGACATAACTGGTTATCCTGTTGACGCGTTGACGGGTAGTTCAAACGTTTCAGACTGGGACTGAGCTGCTGGCATGCTCGATGGAAATCGTTGTCCCCACTTTAAGTCATTAATGTTTGTTTTTGAACATATGATCATTTTAATCATTACTTTATATTATGTAATTAAGTTTATAGCCGATGGTTATAATGTTAACATGTTTAGTATTTATTGTACTAGGGAAATAAACTTTTGTGCTCAATTTTGAAAATAACTTTACAGGAATTAGGTTCCAATAACATTTTAAGCTATTACACCCTTGTTTAAGGTATTCTGTTATTTTTATTTTAATCTGTACGCAATTCGATTTTTATACATTTCGAATTAGCTAGGTTTGCCTAATCGAAATTTTTCACTGCGGTCCCGTGGATTTCAAATTTTCAAGATTTTACTGAATTGATTGGTGAAAAGATTATTCACATACGAATCAATCACAGACAGTTTTGTTAAGGCGTTCTTACTGCTAAGTGCCTAAAACCCATTTAAGCAGGCGACGGCTTAGGTGATCCTCTGGTACGTTTGCCTTAGAATACATCGCGCAGCGTTTCAGTGGTCTGAACAAGGCCTTCTATGTCGCCTGTGATGCATGAACAGTTACTGGTGTTTTATCAGCAACATTAAAAGTGTTTTTATTTCGAAAATATGTTGATGGGTGTAATTCCACCAGGTTGCGCTTTGTTATAAAAACCGATTTCTACGATATGCCTGTATGCTATAGAAGTCATACTTGTGACGTTTATGAGTCGAGTTCCTAATCAGCT